AAAAAAAAAAAAAAAAAAAAAATAGAAAGGATTTAAGAATTACTTGAATTCTAATGGATTAGAGAGGCAAGGATACATTTTTGTTTTTAATTGAGCTAACACAAGGAATTGGGGGTTCTAACAGCTGTTGGTTCTTGCTTTTTCTTATTTGTAAATTTATTCACAATTTTATTATTATTATTTTTAATTGGAGTCTCACTCTTGTTGCCCAGGCTGGAGTGCAATGGCGTGATCTTGGCTCATTGCAACCTTCACCTCCCAGGTTCAAGCGATTCTCCTGCCTCAGCCTCCCAAGTAGCTGGGATTACAGGTGTCCGCCACCAAGCCCAGTTAATTTTCTTTTTTTTTTTTAGTAGAGGCAGGGTTTTCACCATGTTAGCCAGGTTGGTCTTGAACTCCTGACATCAAGTTATCACTTCGCCTTGGCCTCCCAAAGTGCTAGGATTACAGGCGTGAGCCACCGTGCCCGGCCTGTTCACAAATTTTTTTTTTATTAGAGAATGGTTTTGTTCAGTATCTAGAATTATGGGCCTGAATGCTTACCAGAAGGCATTTCCCAAGTCATCATGGAGTAATGTTGTACACGAGCTTTGTACAGAACTTTCCCGAACCGTCAAGTACCCTCCCAACCCCCCCTCCTTTTTATTTATTTATTTTTTTTATTTTTTTTAGAGACAGGGTCTTACTCTTCCACCCAGACTGGAATGCAGTGGCACAATCATGGCTCACTGCAGCGTCAAACTCATGGGCCCAAGTGATCCTCGCACATGAGCCTCCCCGGTAGCTGGGACTGCTAGTACATGCCACTATACCTGGCTAATTTGTTTTATTTTTTTGTAGAGATAGGATCTCACTATGTTGCCCAGGTTGTTCTCTAACTCCTGGCCTCAAGCAGTTCTCCCACCTCAGCATCCCAGAATGTTGGGGTTATAGGCATGAGCCACCATGTGAGGCCAGCACCCCCACCCCTATGCTCCCCTTTTTATTTTTTGAGGCAGGGCTTTTGCTGTGTTGCCCAGACTGTAATGCAGTGGCACAGGCACAGCTCATTGCAACCCTAACCTCTCAGGCTCAAGCAGACTTCCCATCTGAGCTTACCAAGTAACTGGGACCACAGGCACAGGCCATCACATCTAGCTAATTTTTTTTTTTTTTTTTAAGACAGTCTTGCTCCATCGCCCAGGTGGAGTGTGGTAGCACAATCTCGGCTCACTGCAACCTCCGCCTCCCAGGCTCAAGTGACTCTCATGCCTCAGCCTCCTGAGTAGCTGGGACTACAGGTGCACACCACCATGCCCGGCTAAGTTTTGTGTTTTTAGTAGAAATGGGGTTTTGCCATGTTGGCCAGGCTGGTCTCAAACTCCTGACCTCAAGTTATCGAGCCACCTTAGCCTCCCATAGTCTTGGGATTACAGGCGTGAGCCACTGCGCCAAGTCACCAGCTAATTTTTAAATCTTTTGTAGCAGTTGAGTCTCCCTATGTTGCCCAGGCTCAGTATCCCTTTTTTCTTTTTTTAATTGTAATAGACATGAGGTCTTGCTGTGTTGTCCAGGCTGGTCTTGAACTCCTGGCCTCAAGCAGTCCTCCTACCTTGGCTTCCCAAGGTGCCAGGATTATAGGTATGAGCCGCCACACTTGACCTGACCTTATTTTTCATTCTTTTTTTTGTAGCATTCCCCCATCCACTTTTTTTTGAGACGGAGTCTTTCTCTTTGTTGCCCAGGCTGGAGTGCAGTGGCGCAATCTCTGCCTCCCAGGTTCAAGCGATTCTCCTGCCTCAGCTGCCTGAGTAGCTGGGATTACAGGTAAACGCCACTACACCTGGGTAATTTTTTTTTTTCTTTTTGTACTTTTAGTAGAGATGAGGTTTCACCATGTTGGCCAGACTGGTCTCGAACTCCTGGCCTCAGGTGATCCACCCGCCTTGGCCTCCCAAATTTCTGGGATTACAGGCATGAGTCACCGTGGCTGGCCAAGCATCCCTTTTTTAGTAGGAGAATTATAGAACCATTTGCTCTGCTTACTTTATTCAAATGCTTTTCTGAAACAATAAACCCATTCCTTTTGTTAACCAAATTGCTGAAGTAAGTTCTGCCAGAACCAGTTGTTTTATTGATATGAAGGGAAAGTTTTTTTCCCCTTTTGAGACAGTGTCTCTCTCTGTCACCCTGGCTGGAGTGCAGTGTTGCAATCTCAGCTCACTGCAACCTCTGCCTCTTGAGCTCAAATGATCTTCCCACCTCAGCCTCCCAAGTAGCTGGGACTACAGGCATGTACCAGCACACCCTGCTAATTTTTGTATTTTTTTGTAGAGACAGGGTTTCATCATGTTGCCCAGGCTGGTCTCAAACCCCTGGGCTCAAGTGATCCACCGGCCTCAGCCTCCCAAAGTGCCGGGATTATAGGTGTGAGCCACTGCGCCCAGCCTTAGGTCAGTTTAATCATTGTTAGTATATGAGTTCAAGAACTATAAAATGTAGAATCATACCGTTTCAAGAACTTTTAAGTAAATGGAGTTGAGGGCTTTCGTAGAAATAGGCCAATCAACTAGAGAATAAGGTATATGCCAGCAAATACCAAAATTTAATCAGAATCCTCTGTAAGTAGCAATTAAAGGAGATGTTCACATTTTACAGCCCCTTCCATTATCATTGAATTAATACTTATTAGAAATTTTGGATAGAAAGGGGCCTTTCCTTGAATGTCTTATAATTTCCTCAAGTTACTAGATGGGATAATGAATGGAATCTGTTGCTTACTGACTCCACACCTATGTTAAGCCAAGCTTCTCTTTGTGTGTACAGGTACAACAGAATAGCTCGGGAATGGACTCAGAAGTATGCGATGTAATTAAAGAAATTATTGGATAACCTCTACAAATAAAGATAGGGGAACTCTGAAAGAGAAAAGTCCTTTTGATTTCCATTTGACTGCTTTCTATGAGCCCACGCCTCATCTTCCCCTGTGCACATGTTTACCTGATACAGCAGTGCTGCGTGTTGTACATACTTGGAACAACAAACTAGAAATACTGTACTTCTGTACCAACATTGCCTCCTAGCAGAGAAGTGTGTGTGTGACAAGCCAGTTCTACAGGCATTACCTAGGTGTGAGACTAAAAGCTTTCCTTATTGACTTAAATTTGGATAACAGCAAGGTGTGAGGGGGGTGGTGGGTATGGTGTGTGCTTGGATGGGAAAGAAAAAGCTCCACTCACCTGTAGGAGATTATTTTTAAGTGGAATCCATTTAAACTCAAAACAGTTATGAGAAGCAAGGTGAAGAACATGAAGCTGTGTCTGTATTCATTTTATTCCGAAGGAGCTACGTCTTAGGTGAAAGTTATGACCAACCAGATTAAACTCTACCCACATCCTGCATTTTAAGGTCTAAGTTTAACTGGTCAACATTTAAATGGATTGGAGCTATTAGTACATCAAGTGTAATGGGCTTTGTTCCCAACTCTTTTACATCTCCCTACCCCTTCAGCCTTTGGCCTTTCAGCCCTTCTTTCTCTCTTCCATATTCTTTGGTTTGTATGTGGTTTCTCAGTTAATACATAGCTAATAGCTCTTATTTTTCTTATGTTTTTAACTGCTTAGGTCTATTTGGATGTAAGGGTGAAAATTCATTTGATGGAAATACTTGTGTATATTTAAAGACCCAGTTGCTCCTCTGGAGCTTGTACGTTCAAGAATGATTAATCTGTGTAATAAACTGATTACTACAGTCATTACATACAATTTTGTGTGAATAGGCTTTCTGATTTTTAAGAAGTTTGTCTAGCTGAGATTAGTGGTGGATTTTCTCCCACCCCTGAAATGTTCATTTATACCGGTTGCATTTTAAAATCATGAAACAATTCCAGTTACATAGTAAAAAGGATATCCTAAGAGTAATTTTATTAAACAAGATAGAGGCATAAGCTTAAGAGCATTTCCATGAAACTTGACACATGCAGCATTCCAGGAACATGACTGTTACATTCAATAAGAAATTTGCTTTATTAATGAAACTAAGCTGCATTTCACCAAAATCTTGTGACATTCCCTTGGTACATAGTACATAAAACACAAAGGCATTGCTAGTTGGTAAGTTAAGCCTCTGTGATTGTAATTATAAAAAAGCAACATTGACTAAACCTGGGAAACAAGAGCACAATCTTGTTTTGGAGAGTCTGCATAATTACTTTGCACTAACATTTGCAGGATGTTCATCCAATTCTAAATTGTACTGTATGTGGCTTTTTGAAGTCTTCCATTGACTCTAGTAAAATCTAGCTTGAAACTTGTAAACAACTGTGTTTGCCAGAAACATCATTCATGTGAACTAGGCAAGTTACCTTTTTTTTTCCTTCTTTTCCTAGTCTAATTGTAACCTAGGCCAACCTGAAAGCCATGGCTGATGCCCTAGCCATCAGGGTTCTTTCAAATGCATCTTTACACTCTTGCACAAAAATTGTGGAATAAATGTCCACTGCTTTTGGTTTTAAACTTGTTCACCGTGCCTTATCTCTCACTGTCACTGCTCCTCCACCTTAGAACTTGTGTGATAAAACCCAGAATCTCTTAACAGTTCTCTTATAAGCATTTTAAGGATGCTTATTAGCATCCTTGACTTCGTAGAATAGGTTTGATTGTTAACAATTGTGGGGAGCCGGGCGTGGTGACTCAAACCTGTAATCCCAGCACTTTGGGAGGCCGAGGCGGGTGGATCACGAGGTCAAGAGATCGAGACCATCCTGGTCAACATGGTGAAACCCTGTCTCCACTAAAAATACAAAAAATCAGCTGGGCATGGTGGCGCGTGCCTGTAATCCCAGCTACTCAGGAGGCTGAGGCAGGAGAATTGCCTGAACCCAGGAGGCGGAGGTTGCGGTGAGCCGAGATCGCACCATTGCACTCCCGCCTGGGTAACAAGAGTGAAACTCCGTCTCAAAAAATAATAATAATAATAATAACAATTGTGGGAAAGGAGGTAGAATTTGGCTTAAGCCTAAAATCACCCTGTATTCTAAGTATTATGAGCAAGTGGGAATTCATCAGTTTTTTGTTTTAAATTTTTTTTTGAGAGAGACAGTGTCTCATTCTCTTGCCTAAGCTGGAGTGCAGTCAGAGGCATGATGACAGCTCAGTGCAGCCTTGACCTTCTGGGCTCAAGCAGTCCCCCTGCCTCAACCTCCCAAGTAGCTAGGACTTAACGGCTACTTGGCACATGCCACCACACCTGGCTAATTTTTAATTTTTTTTTTTAGAGACAGAGTTCTCTCTGTGTTTCCCAATCTGGTCCCGAACTCCTAGGGTCAAGCAGTCCTCTTGCCTCAGCCTCCCAAAGTGCTGGGACTACAGGCATGAGCCACTATACCCAGCCTACCATCAATTATTCGCTTGCTATTAACTGTATACTGTTGACTGTGGGTCAGTTGCACAGATCCTGAAATCTCATTCTATATTTGCCTGTCATCTTAGAGAGCAGCCAGCTCATTACCATTTATTAGGTCATAATATGGATATTTTCACAAGGTTCTTAGGTTCTTAGGTTTTTTGTTTGTTTGTTTGTTTTTGAGACGGAGTTTCACTCTTGCTACCCAGGCTGGAGTGCAATGGCGCGATCTCGGCTCACCGCAACCTCCGCCTCCTGGGTTCAGGCAATTCTCCTGCCTCAACCTCCTGAGTAGCTGGGATTACAGGCACGCAGCACCATGCCCAGCTAATGTTTTTTGTATTTTTAGTAGAGATGGGGTTTCACCATGTTGACCAGGATGGTCTCGATCTCTTGACCTCGTGATCCACCCGCCTCGGCCTCCCAAAGTGCTGGGATTACAGGCTTGAGCCACCGCGCCCGGCTGTTCTTAGGTATTTTTAAGTGCCAAATAAAAGCCATCATCCCGATGTGCAAGTGCCAGATGAAAGGGTTTGGATGGTCACAAACAACATTAGGCCCTTGAAGTCTCATCCATTTGAATATGAAGCTTGTTTGGCCCAGTCTGTGTATATGTGCCTGGCCAGAATGAGAGCCCAGTCAGGGAAGCCACTTTTCCCACTCACCAAAAAAAAAAAAAAAAAAAAGGAAAAAATAGTCCCTCAGGGTGGTTTTTATCTGGGACCACATTGCCCTTCACAGCAGTTTTATGGCTTTGTCCATATGTAAAAACCAGTCTGCAACAAGCAACCTTGATTATCTTGGAAAAGTTACAGGAGAACATCAAGTGTATGGTTTCCTTTTGCTTCTTCATAGTCTAGAGTACTTTGTCACGTTAAAGCTGGAGCAGGGTCTTTTGGTAAAACAAAATCACTTCAGATACTTACATGCTTTGTTATTGGCCAGTGGTGAAAGGTAGCATTACCCTGGGAATTTGCGCACTTTGACTAGTATAAAGACTTGGAAGGAGGGCTGTAGGAGTGGGGAGGGAAAAGTTAGGAAGGCCCATGGAGAGAAGGAAAAGGTTGTCAGAGGTCCTTTCTCTACACTAACCTAGCAATAGAGGCATTCTTTTTCCACTTCCAAGTGCTAAAATACCCTACTTTCTGAATCATTCCTCTTTGCCTCAGCAAGTTATTTTGAGTCCTGTGTACCTTGTCAGGGGGAATGGATTATTTCTAAGTTATGACTGGAATGCATATAAACTGTCCCTTGTCTATAATTAAGGTGAAAATCTGGCTTTGTCTCAGTGTGCTGTATGGCACCCCTTAACTACCCAGCGTAAGTTTTTAAGTGAGGAACTCTTCCATTCCTCGGTCTTCCGGATTATAAACACATCTCTTCTTCCTTCCAAATCAGAAGTAAGCATCTTTATTACCCCTACAGAAAGCTGTCACTAATGTTAAGAATCCATCTCCTTTTAATTTCCTCATTTTCCCTTTATGAAACTATTTCAAATGATGGATTATTTTGGTGAGTGTGATATTAGGCAGGAGAAAGCAGGTTTTTTGTTGTGGTTTTTATTTTTTGGAGATGGAGTCTCACTCTGTCGCCCAGGCTGGAGTGCAGTGGCTTAATCTTGGCTCACTGCAACCCCCACCTCTTGAGTTCAAGTGATTTTCCTGCCTCAGCTTTCTGTCTGAGTAGCTGGGATTACAGGCACATGCCACTATGCCTGGCTAATTGTTGTATTTTTAGTAGAGACGGAGTTTCACCATGTTGGCCAGGCTGGTCTTGAACTCCTGATCTCAGATGATGTACCAACCTCTGCCTCCCAAAATGCTGGAATTATAGGCATGAGCCACTGCTCATGGCCAAGAAAGCAGATTTTTAATATGAAAATAACTGAAGGTAGCAAACTATTTGCACTATACATCCAAAAAGAGAAAATAGGCTTCCTTTGGGGCACTCCTGGAGCTGGTCTCTTTTCCTTTTCTACCTTTCCCTCTCTTCTCCCCTTCCCTCCCCTTTTGCTTTTCTTTTTTGTTTTTCTCTTTCCTTCTCTTTTTCTTTCTTTCCTTTTTTTTTTTTTTTTTTTTTTTAAGCTCAGGCAATCAGCTCACCTCGGCCTCCCAAAGTGCTGGGATTACAGGCATGAGCCACTTCGCCTGGCCTATTTTCTTTTATATTGTGCATGCACTTAGATGAAAACTGGCTTTCTCTCTGTTTTCTCCACCCCACAAAAGCCTTCTTTAAGTGTTTCCCTGGCACTGTAACCTTTTTAAGTCAAGACTGGTATAAGTGGTACTGAGGCCCCTCTGAATATTTCCAGACCAGTTCCTCAGATGGGCTTAGAAATAGGGAAATGAGACCGGATCACATTGTCAGGGTTGCTATTCATGAAGCAATTCCTTCATTGTTGCCATATTTTACCTTAGTCAATACAAGGAGGAAAGCTCAATGGTTAGGGCTAAATAAGCCTTTACGGCTTTTGTCCTCTTGCTGAATGTATAGTACAGTCACCAACCAGCTTTGCTGTTTCTCAATGTCTACTTCTGGTCTGGGTAAGGCAGAGGCAGACATTGTTGTGATTAGCAGTCACTTTTCATCACTGAATTATTTGTGGATCTTTATCTGATCAGAGGCACAGTGTAATCTGCCTCAGCAGATGTAAAACTATATGAATACCTTAGTGCTAAGACAGCAGCTTAATAGTTTTCTTTAACTGAGAGGGCTTTCTTTTTTCTTTCTTTCTTTCTTTTTTTTTTTTTTTTTTTTTTTTGTGATGGAGTCTCACTCTGTCACCTAGGTTGGAGTGCAATGGTGTGGTCTCAGCTCACTGCAACCTCTGCCTCCCAGGTTCAGGTGATTCTCTGCCGCAGCCTCCCGAGTAGCTGGGACTACAGGTGCATGCCACCACACCTGGCTAATTTTTGTATTTTTAGTAGAGATGAGGTTTCACTATGTTGGCCAGGCTGGTCTCAAACTCCTGACCTCATGATCCACCCGCCTCAGCCTCCCATAGTGCTGGGATTACAGGCATGAGCCACCGTGCCTGGCTATTTGTTTCTTCTTAACATCTTGTGTAAGTTGTTATTGGTAGAATGGCTTTTTCCAGAGCTAAGGAGCCTGATTGCCCAACATTGTACTTTGAAAGCAAATGGTTGATGCCATTTAGAAAAGCCAAGAAGAGACCATTGAGTGTCTAGCTCAGGGCTCCTGTGACCGCTGTACAGGGAAGAGCAGCAACAGCAGCCTCGATGAATGTACCATGTTCCTTTTCCAACTTCTATGGATGCGAGGGGTGGCAACTCCCATTTGCCCAGGCACACCTCTTCTTGCCCTGAGCCACTTGTTCTTGATTCTGTTTAAACTTCCTTCTGGGTACTTAAAAATCCTAAATCTTAAAAAGGCATTTCCTTTTCCTAAACTGTAGGGCTTCTAGAAAATGTGAGTGGGGAAGGCTTGGTTTTTTACTTAAATCCCACCTAGTCTTCAAATTGCCAGTGGGTTTAAAGTTCTCCATAGAAAATGAGGTTGTTTTAGAAGCTCCAAAGCTCCTGGGCCCTCTGACTTGGAGGTTTCTAGGAACAACCCACAAATACAATCTGACATTTGGGATGCAGAGCCAGCACCGTCTCGGGTAAGAGAAACCTTCCATGTTTGAGGTAGTTGGCAAATGCTAAGCTACCTATGTGGCAATAGTTGTCTGGAGCTTTTCCCCATCTGATTAAGGGGCAATGCTGATTTGGTCCTTGAGGGGCTTCTCCTAGCCAGCATCACTGCCATCTTGGAAGGTGTGGCTACCTGTCACGTGTTGCAGAAAGAGTAGAGGGGAGCTGGCCTTGTTTCAGAGGGCACCTGAGGCTTTCAGTCACCTGCTACAGAGTGACAGAAGGAACAAGGGAAACCAAGGCTTTCCCAGACTTGCCAGAGAAGTTGAGCTTTTAGGAAGTATGGTTCCAGGTGACCTCAACTTAGTCCTCCTCTGGAGGAAACAAGGCAAGTTGGGGAGGCTCTAGTGCATAACAAGTTATATGGCAAGTACTGTTTCCATGAAGATGGATTCACCCTCCAAGCTGCATAAAAAGGCACTTCCAGCCGGGTGCAGTGGCTCACACCTCTAATCCCAGCACTCTGGGAGGCCGAGGCAGGCAGATCACTTGAGGTCAGGAGTTCGAGACCAGCCTGACCAACATGAAGAAACCCTGTCTCTACTAAAAATATAAAATTAGGCATGCTTGGTGGCACATGCCTATAATCCCAGCTACTCGGGAGGGTGAGGCAGGTGAATCACTTTGAACCTGGGAGGTGGTGGTTGCAGTGAGCCGAGATGGAGCCCTTGCACTCCAGCCTGGGCAACAAGAATGAAACTCTGTCTCCAAAAAAAGGGTGGTGGGGGACACTTCCTTTTGAAGTTTCAGATGTATATTGAGGGAGCAGAATTCCTTTGTGATTTTTCCCTTGATACATTGTGTCCCTGAGGTGGTCCCTGTTTATCCTGTCTCCTGTCAGCCCCCCCGGCTCAGATGACAGCTGAACGGAGTTGCATTTCAGTGCCCACAGATGGAGGAGATGACTGGTGTGTTTGCATATGTGGGGAGTGAGATGATGGCTTTGGTGTCTGAGTGGATGCTGGTGTCTGAGTAGCCAGCAGAGGGCAGTGGTGACCCATAGCTGTGACAACTGTGAGGCCTGTGGTCAGTGGATCTGCATGGACAGAACCCAAGAGGGGCTTTGTTGGAGTGAGGAGATTCTTTTGGACTTAGCTTTGTTCTTAGTGTATCCAGAACCAGATGGGCTAGTGTCTAGTTCAGTCAGGTTCTCAGCCTTAAAGTGAAGAAAAAGGTTAGTGACTTGTATTTCAGCCCAAAGCCTATCAGAAGTGTCAAGCTTCCAGCTTCCCTCTGCCCTCCCCGTTGCTATGGCAGCCATATCTCTCTGTGTGAACAGGTGAACCAGGGTCCAGGCTAGGACCTCTGCCCATCTGGCTGCAAGTTACCTGGGGGCAAAGACCTGTCCATTGTTTCATGTGAACAAGGAGATCCCATATTTCTAGCAGCTCTCTGGTGCCCACCTGTTACCATTTCACAGAGGCAGCAGTCCTTGTCCTCCCATTCAGCTAGTCCAGTATCACTTGCCTGCCCACCTTACTCTGGGCAACCAGCACATGGCTCCTTAGACCTTAAAGATGGAGGCCTGGGGACAGAAGGAGCAGAGTTGGGGGCTGGTGATAGGGCCTGGGAAATGTTCTTCTCTTGTCTGTTTCAATCTGTCTTGTATTTTGTGGCCCTGGTCTCTCCAGTCTTCTAGCCCGACAGCTGTGAGCCTCCAGGGCCACCACCCGGAAACCAACTGCTCTTCATGGGGGAAATCTTTGAAATTCAAGGCTTGGCCATCTGGGTATGCAAATTTCTCCAGATCTGCTGAGTCCTTCAAGTGGCTGCACCCCAGGCAGGGCAGTGAGAATTAACTGCTACTACCCCCAGATGGGGAAAGCTGCCTAGGTGCTGTTGGTACCTAGAACCCAGGCTTTTGCCTACTGATAAGACCCTAAAGAGAAGGATGTATTGAGAGCCCCACGAGTCCTGCTCCAGTGCCTAATCATGTGAGGGATTTTGCTAGATCCAAAGAAATCTCAACTAAGAAAGTTCCTGGAGTAAGGAGGGAAGGCTTGGGTCTAGCCTCACTAGAGGGTGGGAGCTAC